GTGTGTGTGTGTGTGTGTGTGTGTGTGTGTGTATGCCGATCATGGCGTTTGTTTACCCCTTGCTCCCCCACCTTCCCCTTCCCCTCTTGGTATCGCTACTTCTATTACTGTTCGCGAGGGGTTTATCTGTTCAGGATTCTGTGTGTTCAGAGCTCTTATCTATACCAGTGTGCATGCTCTGGTCTAGCCGGATTTGTAAGGTAGACCTGGGGTCATGATAGTGGGGGGAGGAAGCATTAAAGAACTAGAGGAATATTGTGTGTTTCATTGGTGCTATACTGCACCCTGACTGGTTCATCCTTTCTTGTGACCCTTCTGTGAGGGGATGACCAGTTGTCTACAGATGGGCTTTGGGTCTCCACTCTGTCTCCCCTCCTTCGCATTATCAGCTTTCTTCACCACATTAGCCGATGCACCCATTTTGTCTTCAGCAACTGTTTTGGGAAGGTGAGCATCACAGAAGGTCAGGGTATTAGAACAAAGTGTTCTTGTGTTGAGGGAGGACTTGAGTAGAGGTCCAATGTCCATCTGCTACCTTAATACTTAACCTATAAATAAGTGTACATAGACCTATATCCCTATTGTTATATTTTAATATATTTACATATGTATGGGCCTATATTTATACCTCTATAAATGCCTTTTGCCTCCTAGTTCTTTCCTCTATTTCCTTTTACTTTCCTCCTATCCCAATATCATGTTTAACCTTCATTTGGCTCTCTGTACTTCCTCTCAGCTACATTGCACTTGATCAAATCCCACCAGGCATTCTTCACTCTCTTTGCCATCAATATTAGATCTCTAGTTGTTCCCTTGTCCCTGGGTTTGTTGGCTCCCTGCTCCCGTCCCGTTTCCCCCCGCCTCCCAACCATCGGTCCTGTTGGTTTCTCCTCAGGATTGTAAACAATCCCGCCTATCTTGTATAGATAGACATGGAAAAAGAAAAAAAAAGTCTATAAATAGGTCCAGGTCTTGGGTCTGATGAGGTGCCAAGCTCTGTCACACACACACACACACACACACACACACACACACACACACAGAACCTCCCCTGAGTCAGAAGTCCATCTGCAGGATTCCTCAGGGACTTCGTTACTTTGCTCCCCTTGCTGCTCTGTTGCACTCCCTTCTTGTTTCACCACGCCGTGGGGGTCAGATCAGGCCCACTTTCCACACAGTGCCTCCAGGACTGTCCCCTGTAGTGCTGTGGGTCAGTGTGGGGACGTCGTCTCATGGTGGGGCCGGCCCTAGGGTCCTATCTGTATATGGGCTGCTCTGAGCAGGAATGTCGTCCTCAAGGCTTGGTGGGCCAGGATGCGGTCCACTCGCAGCAACACTGTTTGCAGAAGTGCATGGAGGGAGAAGAAGGAGACAACTTCACATTTTCATAGTTTTGTTCGATAAAGGTTTGTATTCTTTTGCAGCAACACTTTTTGACTTACCCTCCTGTGACCTCAGCATCAGTTTATCGCAATATCTAACTCATGGGGCTTTGGGGAGCCGTCATGAAGCACCGGACTTACACTTTGCTAGAAATAAAAAAAAGAACTTGATTGAATGATAAAGAGTTTGACAAAACTGGAAGGAAGAAAGGTCAGTATCCAGGCAGGATGTTACAGTTTTCCGAATTGCCGGGAGAACTCAGGTTTTTATCAGGTGGAGCAAAAAAGGACGGTACTAACAGACACAAAGATTTCAGAAAAGAGGGTAAAAGTTACAAGGGGGGTTGTGAAGAGAATGTAACACGATCACTTCTGTTTGTTAGCTTCCTGTGGACCACAGTGTGTATTTTTTCACTAGGACAAACTGCGTAAACGTTCTAAACAGATGTCTGTTAACAGACCTTAGATAACCCAAGCTGAAGACCCAGACCTTGGCCTTTTGTAGAAGAGGAGCAGCAGCGACTTTGGCTGAGCTCTAGTTGACTTGGAAATGAAGTTTAGCATAGGTTTGAAATTGACTGGGTCGGGTCAAGCACCTGATGTTTGCTCTTAACTAGTACAGTGCTCTTAACTAGTGCTCTTAACTAGTACAGTGTCTGGGATTGTTTTTGCTATGTAGTAAGAGACTGACAAGTGCTAATTATAAAAAAAAAATAATAATACAGCTTGTGGCTTTGAGGCACACAAAAGGGAACTTCTCTTTTCAAGAGCAGCCAGATGCCAGTATTCTGATGTAAATACTTGACTTTGTTCACCAGTTGCTGCCCACATTCTTCTCTTCTGTGCCAGATCTGAGATTTCTGTGGTTTGTTTTTAAAGAAGATAGAGCTGCCTCCTTTGAAATAGACTTTCTAGCCTGACATCTGGAGGTAGGACGGAGAGTTAGCCATTAGAGAGTTTCATTCCCAGGCCCAGTTCACATCACTGCCTGTCCTGAGTGCATTCCGGGGGCACTTCTGGCTCTTGACAGACTGCTTGGTAGTCTGGGTGGGTACCGCTTCCTTTCTGGCGCCTATAGTGTCTCATCTGCTTCAGATGGTGTATGAATTGCCTTTGCCCACCCTTAGCATTTTGTACCCTGAAAGTGTGTTTGAGGTTCAGTTACACACCAGGGCTGTTTTAAAGATCAAGACCTCCACGAGGATATGATCCCAGGCCAGAGCACTTATACAAGTTACCACCGTTCTTGTCCCAATAGCATTTCCTGCAGGCAGTTGAATTCCCAGCTGCTGGGAAAACAAAGATCACGGTGCCACTTATGGGGCAGTTGTGCCCGGCCAGGTGCTGCACTTTTAATCATTGCATTATTCTAGCGCCTCGGTCAGTTTGGTAGCCAGTCCTCATTTCACGGAAGTGATAGTCGCCCAGGTCAGAAGTTCGAATGATTGTAATGCAGTAGGGGAAGTACAAGGAGAACTCTGCAGGAGGGGAAGGACCTGCCTGACAAGGAATTTGTCTGCGGCATCCTTGGTGTCTTTGGGCTCTGAGGTGGGGTAACAGATCACCTTGTAGGCTGTTCCCTGGCAGGGCCTACGATAGACTTCTAGAACTTGGTCGCATGCTATGAATTGGGTAAAATTAAAGCAAGCTACCTGAAGAGGACTGGGCAACGTAGAAGGATGCCACAATCTGACACACATGGCTAATGGAAAAACGCATTTGGGGTCAATGGTCAGCAGAGGTTGCAGAAGCATAGTCTAATTTGAGGAGCAGCAAATGGATCAAGAATTAGATACATTAGGGTCACTCGCTACTGATGGGTAGCCCTGGTGACGCCCCAGGAGAAAGATCTTTCTACTTCCGTGAACAGTTACAGTTTCAGAAACTTACAGGGCAGTTCTACCCTGTCCTATAGGGTCGCTGTGAGTCATTATTGACTCGATGGCAGTGAGTTTGATTTTTTGGAGTTACTGATTGAGCTATTCTTATAAAAGCAATATTCTTCCATGTGATTAAAGTGCGATAATTGATACTACATATAGTAGCAGTATTGGTCTTTATGTCATGTTGGTAGACAAATATGAGCAAAATCTTGTTCTAGGTAAGGATCGTATAAATAATACATATTATGATTAAGAGGACAAGTGAGAACAATGTAATAAATACGATCAAGTGAAACCTTATTTATTTTAGTACCCAGATTCAGTGTTAGGAGGATTATGTACAAGCTGGTCTAGGTTATTAAAGGGTTCTTTAACTTGAGTACAATACTTCAGAGAATATTTAATTAAGGATTTAAAAATTTTTATTAATCATTTCATTGGGGGGGGCTCTTACAAATCTTATGACAATCCATCATTCAATTGTATTAAGCACGCTTGTACATATGTTACCATCAACATTTCCAAAACATTTTTTTTCTACTTGAGCCCTT